CATGCGCCGTATAACGATCTGCAATTCTGCAAAAAACCTTGTCCAACTGGAATGTATCAGTGCAATACATATCAACATTGTATATCATCAGAAAAAGTATGCGATGGTGAATACGACTGCTATCTAAAAGATGATGAAGAGAATTGCAGTCTGTTCCATTTAGGATGATTTATTGGTTGTTTTCTTATTAATACTTCCTCTTTTACTCATATATAGACAAACACATAATACCATACATGAACAAATGTAGATTCTATAGGAAATTTCTAAATTTTGAACACGTTTGCAATAAGAGTGAAGTTTGTACGAATTATAACATTTGTCCTTATATACAATGCCCCATTGGCGATGATGAGATGAATGAAGTATGCAGAAATTTCAAATGTTCTATTGGTTGTAAATGTTTGTCATCAATACAATTATATTGTAAAGGAAGTGTCAAATTTGAAATGGGAATTGAATATATCTTTAAAACTATCTACCTAGAAGATGTGAGCAATATTTCAAAAGTTATTGGCTATCTAAGCAGTCAAAATGTTATGAAAACTTCCAGCTTAGTAATTCAAAATGGAGCCGGTTTTGATGAAAAGATAATTACTCCTTTTGAAAATTTATAATATTTAAATTTAACACAAAATACTATTAAAATGTTAGACAGTAGCACATTTGACCCAATTAAATTTCTTGAAATTCTAATACTCAATAGAAATGATATTCACACCATTGAATCATCTACATTCAAACATTTAAAATTTTTAGTCCATCTAGAGATTTCTTATCTAAATTTTGTCAATTTATCAAAAGACTGGTTTCATTCCTCAAACAATTTACAAGTTTTACATATAAAACATTCAAAAATTGAAAGAATAGCAAAAGGAATATTTGATAATCTTGAAAAATTGATTGAATTGAATCTACTCAAAACTTATCTTAATGATGGAAAGCAAATTAGAAATTTTCAATTTAAAAAAGTAAAAAATTTACAAATCTTAAAAAGTGAATATTTTACGTTATGTTGCTTTGCGAAAAGGATCAATAAATTGGTTGAATGCTTACCAAAGCAGAATGATTTAAATTCTTGCAGAAATCTTTTGGGTTCAAATATTCAAAAAAGTAACATTTTTTGTCAAATTCAAATGAATAAATCAATAAATCAATAACTTTTTTTTTATCTAGTTTCACTATATTTCATATCATTTTTTGGAATAGTTGGTAATGTTATGGCGGCCATTTTGAAATTAAAAAACATTTCAAAACCCCATCAATTGCTGGACTTATCATTAGTCTTTTCAGATTTTAGTTTTATATTATATTTATCTTGCATTAACAATGTAGTTTGTCTATTCAAATCTTTCAAGCAATTAACAAAAAGGCTAGAATGTCTTCATCGGTTTGATTTTGATATTCGAATTCTAACGAATGATATTGTGTTCTTCAAAAGAAAAACAAATATCTTATTCTACCTTCAAAAATTTTCTTAAGTAAAGAAAAACAATTTATTTGTGTTATCTGTTGTCTTTCGTATCATTTAGACAATGTTTCGATTTACGTAATATACTCAATTGATAAGATTATACATTTCGACCTATTTCATAACATATTTATAGGAATACACTTGATTTTCAGGAGATTTTTCTTTTCTTTTCCCAATTTTGATAAACAAATGATTACCGAAATATTCATATTTATATTTGTCATTTTATCTCTTCATTTATTGACAGAGGTTGAAGATATCTTTCTGATGTTTTAAAATCAATCATTATCTTTTCATATCCCTTCTCCCAATCAGTGATTTCCTACAAATTCAAGGCTTTGGCAATATTTTGGGTTTTGAAGGAAATTTAAATATGGGAAAAGGTTTTTTAAGTCTAATGAAAACCAAAAATATTCTCATGTTTTTATTCAACAATTGAACTTCAACATTTTCCAACTAAAAAGCTCTCAAAAACTATCTTTAAAACTACTATTATAACCATAAAACATATATTTGTACCCATTTTATAACCATGTAACCTTTCATAATAAAAGCATAGTAATCAATGGACTTGTTAAGAAAAGAAATGGCAAAATGGAGCCCAGTTAAAGAATTAGTAAATTATCTAATTCATTAAAGGAAAATGAAAAAGCTGACCGTTTAACATAAGCAAAATATCCCTAACGACAACTTTAAGTATGACTGAGAGAGATAATAGTTTTTTTTGTCAAAAGTTATATAGATAAAGAGTAATATTTATGTAATTTTGAAAAAAAATTTGAGAAAATGATGATATTCGGGAATATTATTAGCTAAATATTTTACCAAATTTTCATGAAGTTTTTCTTTATTTGGCTGCGCTTCATAATTATTGGTACAGACACTTGATTTCTGGTTTGTCATTTAAAAAAATGTTGTAAACTGAAATTTTTTTGACTTATTCAATTCTCCAAGTTAAGTTTATCTATTATTATCAATTTTAATTATATTAGTTAATTTTTCTTGTATTTATTTAACTATGACGTGGAGTAAAGACATTAGGGATCTTGTATTAAGGAAATATAAGGAAACAGGAAAAGTAAGAGCAACAGCAAGGGTTTTGGGGATGGCACCAACATCAGTTAGCAATATTCTACAATACAATCCACCAGAACAGGAGAATAGGGGTCATCCAAAGAGACTTACAGAGAGAGAGAGAGACATAGGCAGGATGAAAAGAATAATAAAGAAATTGAAAAGAAATAAGGAAAGGGTGATAGTGGGAAAAATTTCCAGGAATTAAAAGTAGATGTAAGCACAGAGAGAACTGAAAAGACAAAATTTCAAGTATAAATGAGTAAGACAAAGACCTGACCTCACATCCAACAATTGCAAAAGAAGAAAAACATATTGCCTTAAGATGATGAGTGATAATCTAGACTGGTCTAAAGTAATTTTCACTGACTAGGCTAGATACTCACTGAGTGACCCTGATGACTTCAGAACATGGACTAATCATGGTGAAAAAGCATTCAGGGTGACGAAAAATATGTATAGAGGTGGAGTAATGGTTTGGGGACTCATTACATTGGATGGAATATTTGAGATATGGAGGATAAATAAGAAACTGAATGCTGACAACTATAGCAGTTTTACTGTGGAAGATGTTCTGCCTGTAATAGAAGATATATCAGCAAAAATGGGGAGGCAGTACATCTTCCAGCAAGACAATGCTGGGTGCCATACTGCTTTTATGCTAGTGCTACTTTTGCTCAAGCAGTTGTTGTGTAATTATCCTTGGCTATCAAATTATCTATTATAGTCTAATCTTCAATTTCAATACAATTGATAAAAGTCGGAACACTACAAGAAAGTTAATGGTGAGAGTGATAAGATTCTGTATGATGTTAAATTTCAATGTGAGTAGTGTATTTTTTTATATCACTATTCTGTTTTACTGATAAAATTTTTAATTTATTATTTCTTCATTGTAATTCATTTGATAATTCACAAGGTTAAACTATTTACAAGATCTAGGTCACTTGTATGACGAAATTACTTGATAATTTAGTTGTAATTTTATTTTGTAATCCTTTCTTTCTCTCACACCGTTCTGTTACATTCACTCTCTTTTATATATCGCTTGAGTGTTCATTGTGTCATTCTATGGGGTTTCTTACCTCTACTTCTTCCCATTGATTGTGCCATATCTGTGGTTTGACTTGTTCTCAGATCAAACTGATCTCTGGGAACGTGACGCTAAGTCACACATCACTGTGACATGATGAATACACTTTCTCTGACAAACATTCAACCTTTCATACATTCAATGACTCGTGCTGACACATAATATGCAACGTTCTATGCAAACTATATTACTCTACATAACTTATAACAATTTGACTATCTAACCTAGGGAGGAAAACACAATAAGATTTAGTCTATTATATTTCAATTAGTCAATCTAGATACTCAACTTTTATTATGGATAAAGTGTGGCCAAGTTATAACTCAAATAGCCCTCTAAAGACGTGGCCAACCTTTAACTCAATGGATCTTCTAAGGAATCTAATAATTGATGAAGGTCATCTGGAAACAGCCTCAGATGAAATAAGCCTTTTACACACTACTGTTGGATGCTGGTTTGGAAATTTGGCAACTTGCAATTTTAAACTATCTACTCTATTGGCTGCTTAAGTATTTTGTTTTCAATAAATCATTTAAAATTAAATATGTTGTTTAAAGTTTGGAGTAGAAGCAGTACTGCTGTTACTTGCAAATACATAATTGTGCAAACAAAAGCAGTACCATGAGATTAATAGTTGTTAATCAAAGAGATAGTAATTAATCACAAACTGATAATATGAAATATTTAAATAGCACACTTTCTGATTCTGAATTTTTTTTTGGCCTTTCTACTCAATAATGTTATCAAACACTTTAGAAGATTATTGTCATAAAATACTAATTAAAGTACGTATTTTAAAATTCCTTTTAAAATTTGCATATCAGCAAAACAAGAATATTAAAGACTCTTTCAATATACAAATTACCTGCAAAAAAAAAGAATTTGAAGGAAAATGTTTATATCCTCCAACAAGATATCCCAATGAGAGAGAGGATTTATAACCTTCAAAGTGTTGTCTCTGTTCAATGTCACAAAGTTAGGTTCAGGGTAAATCAAATAATCAATATTTTCCTCCAAATTGAAGATCTAGGAGAATGGTAGAAAACAATCTATAATTAGCATTTGTTTGTTCAATCAAAACACAAAACTTGAATTTTTTTTTATTATTTCAAAAACTGGGACCAAATTTGTTGGAAGCGAAGCTTTCTAAAACTTACACTCTCATTTTTTTATCAAACAAAGACACAAGTGTTTCTTGATGAAAGTAGATATCAAATTTGCAACTAAATTAGTAAGTAAGCTTATCAATTTTTTCTACATGATAAGAAATATTAATTTTCTAACGAGAACATATATCATTTATTGAAGCTTATCTTTGATTAGCATATGTATATAAAGTCAAGGGTATTCCATTCTCTTCAATTCAAAGATTTATCATGAAACCTTCAAGGGTAGCAATCATTACAGGCGCTGGTAGTGGAATTGGATGTTCTATTGCTGTAAAGTTTGCCAAACACGGCTATAGATTAGTAATCTTAGGGAGGAGAGTGAACAGATTAGAAGAAACTGCACAATTATGCTACAAAGAAGGCTTACAGAAGGAAGATGTTAGTGTTGATAGAAATATAATTTGAATTTAAGTATGTAATGCCTTTTCTCTTTTCAACAGATTCTTATCCAGTCATGTGATGTATTAATTGATAGCCAAATTGAGGATGTTTTCAATAAGACTATGCAGAAATTTGAAAGAATAGACATCTCGGTTAACAATGCTGGATATGCAATAGGAAAGCATTTTAACCATTCAGATATAGAGGATTTTGATGCTATGTATAGAATACATACAAGAGCACCAATCAAGTTTATGCAATTAGCTTATCCTTTTCTAAAGAAGACTCAAGGAAACATTATTAATATCACCAGCGGAGCATCTGAATTGACTCCTGTATATATTTCAAATATATTGTAATATATTACATCAATAACTGTTTTCCCTCTTTTATCTAGAGATCAGATCTCTCTCCTTATGCGGTTGCTAAAGCAGGATTGAATATAGCAACAGAACTGGCTGCAAAAGGTTAGTAGCATTTGCAACAAGGGTTAGTGAAGGAAAAGGTTTTGCCTTAATCTTCAAATTTTCATTACTTCTGGTAATGCTGCAAACAAGGAAGAAAGTGATAAATTATTTCAATTCGAAGAAAGTCATTTACTATTGGGAAGGCTTCCCAACAGTGATGAAATTGCTGCAATAGCATTTTTTCTTGCTGATGATGAAACTGGAAAGAATATTACAGGATCAAAGATCAATGCCACTTCAGGAGAAAATTTACCATAAAGTCCTGCTTAACCAGAGAGTTTGTAAACTATTTATAAACACTTTGTATATTTGTTGATTTCCGTAGATCCTATTTGTAAATGAATTGATAACAGTTGATTAGACGCTTTTTTTTAAATTTGAGAAGATCATCATATTTGTGAAATTTAAAGGATGAAGAAAAAACTAAATGCTGACAATTATAAGCTGTTTAATGTGAAAGATATGAGCTAAATTGAGGAGGAAGTACACCTGCCAGCAAGATAATGCTAACTGAACTAAAAGAGCCTTTGAGATGAATGGCGTCGATCCCTTTAATTGGCCCACAAAGAGACCCAACCTTAGTCCAGTTGAGAACCTGTCGCACCTCACCAAAAACAAATGATTTATGACAGTCTACATTACAATACATGAAAATATTATATTTCGAAATAGTTTCAAAGAGAATTCTCCAATAACTTTTTGAGTTGTTTCAGTACTTTTCTGAGGAAGGAGACCCTTTTTTCAAATGTTCAGTATGAAAAACTATATAATGAATAATAAGCAAGTTTATCCAAAACTGATTTGTTTGGTATTCTTTATTAAGATATTTCAATATTCTACCGAAGATCCATACTACCTAGTGAGTACCATTTCACCTGCTTTCTTGTCAAGATATGTTTTCATTTTTAATTATTATATTCCCAATATTAACGCTAGGAGGCTTTTTCTCACTATTAGGACAATTTTTCCTAGCCCTAGGATTTTTTTCTAACAATAAGGACAACTTTTCCCCCACCTTAGGATGTTTTTTCCTGCCACCAGGACATTTTCTCCCTTCAAAACAATTTTTTCAATTTCATTTAATTAAATTTCCAATTCAATTGGACTGGAAGATCATAATTAATTTAGAATTCTTGCCTTATATTGAGTGACAAGTTCAATATCATTAAACAACCTGTAGCACACACCAGGTAATTTCAAATGGAGAATTATACTGTTTCAACTGATAACATTGATTTTAAATTTTTTACTCCATTTTTTATCTATATGTCAATTATCTTTGCAGTTGGTGTACCTTCAAATTTCTTTATCTTATTTTTCTACGAGTTCAAAAAAACCTTTAACCCAAATGATATTTTTATTAAACTGATGGCAATTGCTGATATTTTAATATGTGGACTTTGCGGTCCTTATAGTGTTGTCTTACAAATTGGTTTGATTGAAAATGTTCCAATTTGTAAGATAACTAAATTTTTCTACCAGTTCATCATAGTTATTTCAAGTCTTATCTTTATATTCATTGCAGTTGAAAGATGGTTTGCAATTTGTAAACCATTGAAAAAATTGAATGAAAAACATATAAAAATTATGTTAATAGTAATTGTTTTGGTTGGTTTGTTTGGTGGTTCACTTAATGCTTCATCACATGAAATTTCGATTGGTAAGAGATATGATGGTCGAATATTGAAGAATTGTTTTCCTACACCTAGTAGATTATTTGAACTGCAAAAATTTTATATAATATTCCTCTATGTTGGACTTGTGATACTATTGTATTCAATCTATGGCCTAATTTATAGAGTTATCTATTTAAGAAATATGAAGAAGAAGGTTAGAATTGATAAAAATGGAAAGAGATTTTTAGAATCTGAAAGTCTTGGTAAAACTTTTAGAACTGTAACAATGCTTTTTGGTGTTACCTCCTTTTATTTAGTGGGTTGGTTTACAATTTCATTTGAATTTGTTGGTGTATTACCATCAAATATTTTTATACATTATTTTTTTTTCATTACTAATTCTACAAATATTTTTTTTTATATTATATTTCAAGTTTCATTTAGGAAAAATCTAATAAAGTCCTTCTTTCCTAAATACAATCAATCTAATAGTGTCCATTCAGCTACAAACAGTAAAGTATCTACTATTAAACGTACTGTTCAGAGTACAGTATAATTTGAAAATAACATTCTGGGTTATAGAATGATTGTGAACAATTGGATTTGGGTATTTTGAATGGAATAGGACTGAATTGAATAAACTCTTTCCTTCCTGGGCCTGTCCTAATTAAGAATAACTCACTAAATATTAAAATAGAAACCTTTGCACTTATCTTTCTTATTGCCTTTTCTGTAATTTAAGCAAGGTTTCCTTGATCTCTAAACCAGATACACACAACTTTTAATGATATTAATGTTTCTTTTCATGTTCATTGTGTAAAAATGTACTGCAAACAAATAAAATAATTGGATAACTATCGCAATTAGTACGGTTACTTTTGCCAATTAGTTTCATCTTATCTTCAACCTTAAAATTATATAAAAGAGAATACTGTTTTTTAGTAATTGTACATGAAAAATACTTGTACAAGAAGAAAGACAAAGATGATGAATGTGACATTGGATCCTAATGATTTTGACACCAAAAACAGTAACAGCACTATTTATAATTTTACTATTATAGAGAAATTTGCAATACTAATAACACCAATAATTTATTTATCAGTTGGTATTATTTTTGGAATTCCATTTAATCTGATATCAATAATTACAATAATAAAAGGTAGTCTATGGAAAACTACCTTTTTCAGGTACATGCTAATTGTCACATTTGCTGATCTCATGGTAATAGTTGGTAATGTGATTAGAGGTGTATATTTTCTAAATGTAAGAATTGTTGATGAGACAGTTGCTCTTTGGGTTGATTGTAAAATTTATAGATTCATTTACTTTTCTTTCGCTCAAATTTCATCTTTAACACTTATAGCTATAACTTTTGATAGATTTTTGTGTATTGCATTTCCTACAAAGGCAAAAGTTTGGTCTACACTCAAAGTTTGTAACATAGTAGTTGCATGTATAATTATCTATGGAATTGGAATGAATTTAGTCAAATTGGTTGCGAAAGAAACACCTACTAGATATACTCCAACAGTAGTTCATTGCGCTCCAGATGATCCAGGTGTCAATGATTTTCTTGACAATTACTTTTACCTCAATTACAATGTGATTTATTCAATATTTCCATCAATTTGTATGGGAATATTAAATATACTTATTCTTTATAAATTGAAAGTTCATACTAAAAAAATGGACGATTTGACTGAAAAAACTACTCATACTAATGATACTAAACTTAAAAGAACAACAAAGAAACTAACTACCTTAACTCTTCTACTATCAACATCATTTATTATCACAACATTTCCAGTTTCTGTCATTAATATTCATGTTTTAAAATTTGCACCACACCTTTATCAATCTGAAATTGTAATCCTAACTTATGAATTTCTATTAATACTTAATAGCTTGAATCACGTGATCAATTTTATATTTTACTGTGCATGCGGCGAAACATTTAGGAATGAATTATTTAAATTGATTGGTTGTAAAAAACGTATTCAAACAAATAGCTCTCTGAAAAAATGAATTGAATAGAAATTTTTGTCTTGTCTTGAGTCAAAATAAATTAAATGACAAAAAAAATTGTACTTATTAGTCAACCAATTTTGAAATTTCTGTATTTTATTTTCAAAATTGATGGACAAATCTTGAGTTTTGAATAGATCTAATTCCTAATAAGTTAAAAAAAGCATTGAAATGATCAAAAATTTCGGTTGTCTGCCAAGTTTGTTTGAATATTTCCAAATCATGGGAATAACTTTTAGAATGATATATCTTATATTCATTAATATATTTCTAAATATAGGCCTATTAACAATATTTGTATTGGTCAATAATTCTTCATCATTCTTAACATCTAAATTTGAAAAAGAAGAGTTTATTAAGAGACACTTTTTTGTATAGGAATATGAAGTTCATACTTAAAAATGAATTTGCCAATCTACTATTAACTTTTGCAGCCATTTTGTATTTTTGAATACCCAGCATACCGAAAGGATCTAGATAACTTAACCAGTTTTCACCATACTTTTTTGACAATTTATCCAAAAATAACTTGATCTTATTTGGTGGAAGTTTTGCATGCCATGCTAAAAGAAATCCAATTTCAGATAGAAATGTGAATATATCTTCAGTAATATCCAAATTTTTTAGATATGAATCAGAAGGAAGAAAAAACTGATGATATTCTCCAACTTTATATTCAACAATGCGTTTTGGTACTCGGAAATATATGGCTAATGTATAATATAATTCTGTATGATCTTTTGAATTGAGTATATTGAAGGCATTAATTTTAAAATATCCCTGATCTAATAATTTTTCTGACAAAATGGAATATTCAAGTCAAAGTAAGATAATAGAACTTTTATTGTTCACAGAACTTATGGATGCAATGACAAAGAAAAAATGAAAGCCCAAAAGCTCAATTTGTCTTTTTACAAAAAGAGCACAACTTTCATAAAAGAGTTTCTATTTTTTATTCACTATTTTGATACAATAAATCCATTCACCTCTGCTATAATAAAAGGTAGCTTTTTAAACTACTCAATGTTTCAGATGTGGTGTCAGTCTCTTCTTCAGATCAATCTATAATAATGACTGATTCCTGGTCTGAATCAGATACATCAAAAATCTATATTTAATTCTCTATATTATTTTCTCTATAAAAAACCAAATTTGATATCTTGAATATTCTAATTAAAGGAAATTCAGTAATTTTCTCTCATCTCATTTACATTTATATAAAATAAAAAATTATACAATTATCGTACATTTTTACAAAATTATGGTTCTTTTATATTTCTACACAAGTTGCTTTCTCTATTTATGTATTTTTACCATTCAATTCTTAAGATTTTCTTCTGCTGAAAGATGTGAAAATAGAC